TATATATTATATGTTATATATATAATATATATCATTATCATGACTTTCCAACAGCACAGAATTCCACCCCAAATTTCCATTTTTATTATATTATTGGGCTATATTGAATATCATTAGTACTTTTTATTAATTTTGTGTTTAAAAAAATTTTTCTTGACTCAGCCATGGTGACACAGATAATAGGTCACACTGTTCGTCAACACTGAGGCCATATGAGAGGCCAGGGTTTCCATCCGTGGTTGACGTTGACATGTTGTTCATACCCTCACATAGCAAGGCCATGTCTAGGGTATCCATGCCAATGTGTCTCATAAGAGAAAAAAGTTTTTTTAAAAGAGACAGTGAGGACTAACATTTTTAAAATCTCTTGTGGAGCCTTCTCAACTGCTCCACCTGTACTTGTCGCTCTATAGACCTTTTTTCCTGCCATCTTATGATTGAAAAGTACCATCGTATGATGAAGGATCTTCCTTCATCCTCTTCCTGAAATTTACTGTTTTGTGTTGGATGTGCAGTTTGCTGCATTAGTGATAACAATAGGAAATAATTTTTATATTAATTTTAATGTCTGAAAGTCGGTCTATTCTACGCACTTTTTAAAAGTTAGTTTCTATGATAGAGAGCATGTATATGTGTCTGCACATGGGGGACAAGCACTTCTCCCCAGTGGGGTCTTTTCATGCCACAGTCCCTTTTCTTATAATTCTCTAGGATCCTGGACATGTATGTGCAGGCCTGACTTGAAGGTGACAGGGTCAAGATTCAAACCCTTTTCAGCCATGTGAGACTCATCTTTCCCTCTGTGTCATGTAACTGTTTTGTTATGGGATAGCAAATAGGACTCTACCCTTGTCCTTTTTTTTTGGTGCCTATACATGTGGGGAAGAGGCAGAGAGAGGGAGCTGTCCTTCCCCCCTAGTGGGGCCTGGTCACACTGCAGTCCTTTTTTTTTTTTTCTTTTTTCTTTCAGTTGTCCATTTTATTGGTATCCTGGACACATGCACATGTATTGGGCACACTTGTCATGCCCTTGAGCTCTGGTTAGTCATGTGTCCATCTACTTACTTACTGGATAGTTAAGGTATATAGTTCTGTTAATAATTGCATCGCTGGAGCCGGCATGTGGCGTGGTGGTTAAAGGTGGTGGATTCCCACATGGCCGACTGTAGTTTGAGTCCTCGACCCGACAGCTTGCTTTCTCTCTCACTCTCTCAATCTGTCTCTTTCTGGTCAAATTGAAATAAACAAATGAACAAATAAATAAAGTTAAATAAAATAATTCTTTAAAAAAATTGCATTTTTGAATTTTGAAGGTATTCATTGTTTTCTTAGTGTAGAGTCTGAAGCCCTCTTTTTGGGTAGCCTGTTTTATATCGCGGGACTTTGTAGGGTCTTCTCTTTGATTCTAGAGTTATGCAGTTTCATGATGATAGCTGCATAGTTGTGAGTTTTACTTGTCAACTTTGAGAACTCTTGGTTTGAAAATTAGTTTCTTTAATTATGGGAATTTACTGTGGTAAAACATATGTAACATTAAGTTTCCTACTTTGATCACTCTCAGGTATACTACTCAGTAGCATTATGGTTATGTTTGCCTTATTGCAGTCCATTACTATTCATTTATAGAACTTTTTCATTATCCAAAACCGAAATTCTATGTGTTTCTATTTTGTTTTGTTTTGTTTTAGAGATTTTTGCTGTAGGATGCGTGCACTTGCAAGAGAGACAGAAACACAGAGACAGAAAGTGAGAAATCACCACTAGGGGGATGGCCATGCCGCAATCCCTTCTCCTCCATTCTCTTCTCAGGATCTTGGGCACGCACGCACATGTGCCTGGCGTGAGTTTAAGCCACCGGGCCCGGGACTCACATCGCAGTCGACTACATGGGAGTTCAGCAACATAGCCATTACACTAACTGCTGGTCCCAAATTCTATATTCTTAATAAGTCTGCATTCTTCCTTCTTCTTGGACCCTGTCTACTTTTTGTGTCTTTGAATCTGAAAGTAGATTTTATTGTATGGTAAGTGTGATCATTCAGTATTTGTGGTTTTGTGTCTGGCTTACAAGGAGACTTAATAAAGTTCACAGAAAAAAAAAAGGAATTTAAATATTTAAAAATAAAAGCTGTATTTTTCATGATAAGCTCCACAAAGGCAAGGATACTTGTGTGAGATGCTAGCAGCCATTTAGTATATCCCTAAAGAACTGAGGTCCTTGAGGGTTTTTTTTTGTTTCTTTTTTGCTAATAATTATTTATTTATTTGATTTTTTTCCCTTTTTTTTTGAGCGGGAGGTTATTTTGTTTTGTTTTTGGAGAGGTTTTTGCTATAGTGCATGTGCACTCGCCAGAAAGACAGAGACAGAGAGACAGAAAGCAAGAAATCACCCCCCTCACAGGGAGGATGGCCACACCGCAATTCCTTCTCCATTCTCCTTTCGGGATCTTGGGCACGTGCACTCACCTGGCGTGAGTTTAAGCCACCGGGTCCAGGACTCGTACCGCAGTCGACTACATGGGAGTTCAGTGACATAGCCATTATGCTAACTGCTGGTCCCTTTTTGGGAGGCTTTTGCTGTAGGGCGTATATGCTTGCCATAAAGACAGAAGCAAAGCAAGAAATTACCACCAAGGGGGGATGACCATGCCACAATCCCTCCTCTAGGAATATTGGGCACACATGCAAAGGCGCCTGGCGTGTGTTTATGTTACCGAATCCAGTACTCGAACTGTGGTCGACTCCGTGAGAGTCCAACGACATAACCATTATGCCAATTGTTGGTCTCAAGTCCTTGAGAATTTAACCACATCAGTTTGGTCTTTTTTACGTTGGTAACTGAAGAAGAATGGGTGTGGCCCTTAAAGTTATCTATTATAAGATTGGAAAATAGAAGTCAGGAGGCCAGTCAAGACTGTAAGGTGTGTGTCCAATGGTTTCCCATTAAAACTTGAAAAATTGCCCTAATTTGCTGAGATCATTGAGCAGGGAGCATTGTTGCGGTAGAGAAAGACTAGTGGAGTGTTCGGGGTGTTTTCCTGCTATAGCTCAGCTAATTTTCTGAAACCCCTCGTATTAGATATTACTGTTCTTTGGCCTTCTGGAAAATCAGTAAGCAAAATACCTTGAGCATCCTCCAAAACTGTTGCCATGACCTTCGCTTCTGACTGGTCCACTTTTGTTTTGACTGGATCATCACTTCCACTTCTTGGTGGCCATCACTTTGTACTTTTTTTCAGGATCTTCATCCCACTTCCACTGGTGGTGCAGCTGTAGCATGTTGCTCAAGTGTTGCTGGATCCATCGGAAAGATTGTGACTCAGTTCCCTAGTAGACCTGTACATGGCAGGCACATGAGCCCATGATCCTGGCTTACTAGGGGTGGTAGAGAGAGGATTGTGATTTGAGACTGTTGAGAGTATTCATCTGTGTATTTTCCCGTTTGTCTCTCACTTTGATGAAGAAATAAATTTTAACAATTTTCATTGAACGTTCTCACTCTTGTTTGCAGCTGCTCTGGGCACCAGCAGTTTTGGTACCCATTGAGCTGAAAGCTTACTTAACTTTAATTTGTCAGTTAGAATTATCATATGCTGAACCAATTGAGATGAGATGTCTTTTATGTTGGTTTTTGTTTCTGCTGTTAATCCTTGATCCTGTTCAGTTAGGACACAAACACAATTTTTCTCTCAAGTTGTAGATGATCTGCTGCAAGTGTCATCTTTAACATCATTTTTGTCCTTTTCATTTTTCTTTTTTTTATTGTGAAAAAGATACATTTTGTGTTTATTAAAAATATGATCATTAGAAAGTTAAAGGGTTTTTCTTTCCAAGTAGTAGTGTTCAGAGTAGTTTCTTTTTCTGCTGGTATTGCTAAAAGTTGCAATTTAAGTCTTCTATCAACCACTAATTTAAGACAACTATGCCTGGATTAAGTTGTTTTATACTACTTTATTTAAGGGTTCTACTTTTACTCTTCAATAGACTTTATGTATTTCTCATACGCATCTTCACTCATTAGTTCATCTAGTTCAGAAGGGTTACTCAGTGTCATCTTGATCAGCCAACCATCTTCATAACAAGATTTGTTGACAAGTCCTGGATTTTCTGCAAGAGCTTCATTAATTTCAGTTACTTCTCTTGACAGAGGAGAATAGAGTTCACTAGCAGCTTTTACACTTTCCAAAGCACTAAACTCATCTTGTTTGTTCAGTTTTGTCCCAACTTCAGGCAGACTACAATAAAAAACATCTCCCAAAGCTTCCTGTGCAAAATTGCTGATTCCCACTGTTCCAGTACCGTTTTCTGTTATCCACTCATGTTTCTCCATGAATTTACGCACCGACAGCAGAGCTGGTCCCGTGCGCAGCGTCCAAACGGGGCCCACCCGCAGCTGCCAGGGCCGCGGCGGGCAGGGCATGGCGGGCACTGAGGCTGTGCGCAGGCTGCAGGCCTCGGCCTGTACACTCCATGCTGCTCGCAGCGCCATGTTCACAGGGCTTCATTTATTTTTTTTTTAATTAATTTATTTTTTTTGAGAAATTTTCACTGTAGGGCGCGTGTGCTCGCCAGACAGAGAGAGAGAGACATAGAGACAGAAAGCGAGAAATCACCCCCCAGGGGGGATGGTCACGCCGCAATCCCTTCTCCTCCATTCTCCTCTCGGGATCTTGGGCACGCACACACACGCGCCCGGCGTGAGTTTTAAACCACCGGGTCCGGGACACGAACCGTGGTCGACTACGTAGGAGTCCAGCGACATAGCCATTACGCTAACTGCTGGTTCCCTATTTTTTTAATTTGGCAGAGGGAGTGTGTGCTCACAGGAGAAAGGGAAAGTAATACACGCCACCCCCCATCCCATTGAGGGTGGTCACACCACAGTTCTTCCTTCTCCATTTCTCCCTCCTTTTGAGATTTTGGGCACACTGGAACGCACACAGACCCTGCATGTTTCTCAGGTTGTCATTCCTTGAACTCGAACTGTGCAATCAACCATGTGGGATTCAGCTGCCTTAACCATGTCACCAATTGGCTCCTATTTGTCCCTTCTTAGAGTTATCCATTGTAAACTGATTATCTTTGGTCCTATTAACTTCATAAAGGTCAGTAATTTAACCATTCTTCTACCCATAAAATTGATAATTCGTTATTGCTTCTATTTTCACAGAATTCATAATGATGATGATGGAGACTCTTTAAAAAAATTGCTTTATTCTTTTTATCACATTAAACTAGATCCTATTCAGACATAACAAGTTAGCACAAGTTTATTTCGATGCTAAATGTTAATTTTTTTTTTTTGCCATAGGGCGGCATTTACTTAGCCAGAGAGAGAGTTAGAAATCATCCCTGGGGGAATGGCCATACTGCAGCCCCTTCTCCATTCTCCTCTCAATTAAAATGGGCACACACGTGTGCACATGTGATTTTTTTTTAGGCTGCTAGGTCAGAGACTTGAACCGTGGTTGCCCATGTGGGAATCCAGTGCTTCAAACACTGTGCCACCTGCTGGCCCCGGTGCACAGTTTTTAAATCCATGGAAAGTTTTACATAATACATGAACTGTTTGAAAATTCTTTTTTAAAAAATTATTTTATTTGACTTTATTTATTCATATATTTTTAAATTTAATCAGAGGGGGACAGAGAGAGAGGGAAAGTGAGAAAACAAACCGCTAGGTCCAGGACTTGAACCATGGTTGGCCATGTGGGAGTCCAGCACCCCTAACTACCACACCACCTGCTGGCCCAGAAAATTCTTATTTTACTTCACATGTTTGTCTACATTATGTTGAATTGTCAGGAAAGTCATGACATATTTTTGTATGCAAAAATGCTTCAGGACTTTTCCAATGACCTAATTATGTATTAGAATGTCATTTTCTTCTTTAAGGTTGACTAGTATTACATTGTCTGTATATACTGTTTCATTTATCCATTCCTCTGTAGGTGGATATTTAGGTTATTTTGACCTTTGGGTCATTATGAGCAGTGCTGCTTTGAACATTGCTATGCAAGTATCTTCTTGAGTCCTTGCTTTAACATCTATTGGATTTAGTCCTCAGTGTAAGAATATTCTTGGAGTATATGGTAATTCTGTTTTAACTTTAAAAACAAACAAACAAACAAACTTGTACTTTAATTCTATTTTTCTGTAAACTTTTTCATTGCTAGAGGGTGTGTGTACCTGACAGAGACAGAAAGGGAGAAAGAGAGAAAGCACCTTTCCCACGGATTGTGCTCATCTCAGTCCTTTCTCTTTCATTTTTCTATGCCATCAGGATTTGGGGCATACACGCACATGCATCTGGTGTCAGTTTCAAACCTTTGGAGCCCCGATTTGAATCACATTTATCTATGTGAGATCCTGCTCCCTAAGCACAGTACTTAACTGCTGCACTACAGGATTGGCCAATCTGTGCAACTTTAGGTTTTTGCTGTAGGTATGTGTACTCACTGGAGAGAGAGAGATCGACATGTTGTCTTTATATATATATATATAGTTATTTTTAATTTAGCTTTATTGATTATTGTTATTATTTTCCAGTTTGATCATAGAGAAAGTGAGAAAGCAAGCCACCAGGTCCAGGACTCAAACCGTGGTCGCGGTACCACACCACCTGCTGGCCCCATGATCCATTGTCTTGAAAATCATGCTGTGTACATGCCCCAGATCCTGGGAGAATGGAGGAGAAGGGATTGTGGTGTGGCCACTCCCCCAGAGGGGGGTGGATTTCTAACTTTCCCTATGGCAAAAATCTAAAAGAAAAAAAAAAAGTGAGAGGGAAAGTGAGAACTCTCCCTGTAGTGGGGATGGCCACTCAACAATCCTTTCTTATCTATTCTCTTGGGTTTTGGGGCATGCACGCACACTCACCTGGCATGACGTTCAAGTTGCCAGGTCCAGTACTTGAACCACAGTTGACCATGTGGGAGTCTAGCACCTTAACCATCACACACCTGCTGGCCCCCTGTTTAACTTTTTAAGGAATTGTTCTCCACAGTGAACACCTTATTTTACTGTAAAATATTTTAAGAACTGTTTACCTAATTTTATTTATTATTATTATTCAGTTTGACCAGAGACAGAAAGAGAGAAAGCGAGCCACCACATCTGGGATTTGAACCATGGTCAACCATGTGGGAATCCAGCACCTTAACCACCATACTATTTGCCAGCTCAGACCACCCTATTTTAAGTCAGTAACTCACAGAGGTTTCAATTTCTCCACAGTCTCAACAGTACCTAAATTTTCGATTTGGGGAAATATTTTGTATTTGAAATAATTGTTGACTTTTCCCCCTCCTTTTTCTGATATTTTTAAAGAAATTGGTCATGTAGGCTTTGCGCCTGTCATCATTACTATTTTAATTTTCTGATTACTTTCTTTACTTTTTAGTTTCTTTTCTTTTTTTTCCCTTTTATCCTCATGAGAGAGAGAGAGAGGGATGATAGACAAAAAGCCTCAATTGGGCCTTGCCACACCACAATCCTCACTACAGCCTTTCAGCTACCCAGAATCAGGAGTCCCAAGAAGCTGCCTCATGTTTTTAGATTGACCCAGAATCCGAACCCATGTTTCCACATGGCTCCAGCACCATGTAGTCATGCCCTTCTACCTGTGCTGCTATAGCTGGGCCAGTGCGTTTTCTTTTAGAAAGCAAGTTAAATAGTGATTTTTTTGTGCAGAATTTTCCAGATTTTAGAAATACTTAGTAATTACTCAGGAAAAGGAGGTCCCTATAAATTAATTCACATATTTTCCTCCAGTTTTTTCCATCCTCAAAAATCTTAACTCTGTTCAGTAGCTACGAGGAGATGCTGTCAACAACAAAAAAATATCTTTCACTTTCTTCTTTTATTGAGCAGACATACTGTAAGACAGGAGCATGATCTGGGGCTTGAACTTCGTGGCTGGCTATGTGGCATCTATTCACCTTAACCACCACCCTCTCCATTCTCTTGTTGGGATTTTGGTCATGTATGCATGTGTTGCCCAGCGTGGTTTTTTTTGGTTAATTTGTTTGCTATGGAGCGCATAAACTCGCTGGAGAGAGAGAGAGTGAGAAATCACGGCCACACCATAATCCATTCTCTTCCATTCTTCTCTTGGGATTTTGGACACACATGCACTTATGCCCAGTGTGTTTTTCCAGCTGCCAAATCCAGGGATATAGAACTTGGAACTCTACAGTTGACCATGTGGGATCCCTCTACCTTAACCACGGTGTCAACTCCCCCCAGCCACACACACATTTTCAAGTTGTTAGGTACAGGACTGAACCATGTAGTTGGCCATGTCAGATCCAGCTGCCCACCATGACACTGGCTGGCCCTTTGAACACTTTTTTTTAGTTTCTGCCTTTAGTGAGAGAGAGTAACAAAAGCACCGTTTACAGGGTCTTCATCAACTGACGTGAATCATGGGCACAGCATGCTCATATACCTGGTGTGCTCAGGAGCTACCTGTTGTAAGAACTTGGGATGTTTCCCATATGGGTCTGGTTAATTACTGCAGCATGCTATGATTTTTGTCTTCAAAAAACATTTCCCATTTCTGCTCTGTGACCTGGTGGTTAAGGCAGCCAGATCCTACATAGCTGACCTTGTGGTTCAAGCTCCAGACCTGGCAGCCTGAGAAACATCCCCAACATTTGTGCCTAAAATCTGGAAAGGAGGGAGAGAGCGAGATGGGATTGCTACATGTACATTCCCCGTCTGAGGTGCTTGCTTGCTTATCTTCCTCCCTCTGGCAAGCACATAAGCCCTCTGACAAAATTAAAATAATAACAAAATTTCCAGTTTATCTTAGTTTTGTCTATTTAGGATGGAAGTTCCCAGGAAGAGTTACTCATTTAATAGTATTGATGGGTTCATTTTCCACATGATCTTGGAGGAAAGTACAAAATGGTCCTTAATGGGTGGTTTGCTTTTAATAATTTTTTTCTCTTAACTTTTAATTTTTTTCCTATTTTATAATTTTTCATTTACATTTGTTAAATGTTTGTGGGGTACAACATGGATTTCAGAGCATGCATGAAGTGTCCAACAATCAAATCAAGGATATTATTGCTTGTTGTTTTCAACAAAGAACATCACAGTCGAGAGTCATATGTAAGATTAACAGTGTCTGCTTTTTTCACTCACTTGTGGTATGCTGTTCTGCAATCCATTTGTTCCATCTACTTGCATTCTTGTGTCTGTTAAATGCTTTCTTTCCTCATACTCTTCTATTCCCTTCACCTTTTCGATCTCTGTCCTTTCTTTGGTATCTAGAGTTGTCTTTGTTTACTTCTGTGTCTTCAAGTCTTAATTTCTGTCATAGAGTGTAGACACTTGGTGTATACTAAGTGAGGACATACAGTATTTGTCTTTCAGTCTGGCTTATTTCACTTAGCATCACATCTTCTAGAATTGACCACTTTGTGGGGAACAAAAGGATCTCATTGTTTTTAATGGCTTGTAGTAGTCCATTTTATATGAGTG